TATACATATCTGCTACTATATATAGATGTCTCCAATTTAGTAGGTTTTTATTATTCATCCTAAAAATGAAGGCACCATCAATTTCTGTTTTTTCCTAAATCCTGACTTAGTTTAATTTCATTTTACCAAGGAGGATGCCATTTCAAAAGCTTTGTCATCAAAGGATGTATTTTTGCTGCATGGACCTCCTGGACCTGGGAAAAGTGCAGCTGTAGGGAAAATTACCATCCTACAAGAAGTCAAGCATGGCTTAAAGATTCTTGCTTGTGCTTCTTCTGATATTGCTGTTGACATTGTTGAGTGACTTGTTCACCTCTGGTAAAGCATGAATTAGTATATAAGAAGATATACCTGCAACTAACCTTAGTGCTAACCTATTAATGGGAGATTTTTTTGTAATTAATTGTGCTTTATATCATTTATAAAGGGTCCCATAGTTCTGGTTTAGAGACAACCTGAATGCTCAAGGAAATGTTCTTTGAGCATATATATATAAGACCCACCAAAAATTGAACTATATATTATCTGGTTCTGTTCAGCCTAATAGGTTTCAGCAGCTTCTATTTTTCAAAACTTGAGCTAACAGTGTTTGTTTGGTTGAGTTTTATTAGCAAGTTCTTTTTTTCTCAGTGCATAAAGGCCAGAATGAATTTTCATCAAATACTGGCCTTGGTAGTGCAATAGTAATAGGAATTAAAACAATGTGGCTCAATCCATCTTTTGCTGGAATGTGAAATTTGTCTACTTATCTTTCAAATGGGGAAGAATTGTTTGGCATTTTGACTACGGATGACTTTGATTTTCTTTCCTTTTTCATGGAACTGTAGATATTCAGATGAATGGTATTAGAAAGACATTTATGAGCTAAACTGTCATTTCATGCACTAGTTTTTATCTTCTTGACTTGCTACTTTGGTTTCCTCTTGTGCGTTAAGAGTACATTATAATTATTATTTTTTTAAAAAAAAATTTTATCATTAGAGGGAAGGAGATGAGGTTGGAGTATCCTGCATGTTTACTATCCTCAAGTTTTGGTCAGTGCACTTGATGCACAGGTAAACTGTATTATTTGGAAGGAAGGAGAAAATTTGAACAATAGGATTTTTATCTTAATGATAGTCAGTTGTTCGTCCCCATAATGTAAGCTTCAATTTCTTATCAAATTTGGCCTTCTTAAAGGTCTCTCATAGTTCTATACAACATGGTAACATCTTGGTCTATTTATTTCCAGCTACAAACTGTTCTGTCTAGAATTCCTTTTTTTTTTGGGGTAAATCACCACATTTAAATTCATTCAGGGCATCTTGGAGAAGTTTTCAAGTCATTAAATCACCACCTTTTAACTTCCATCTGCTGTATCACCAATACAGAAATCCTTGGCAATTGAACCCTGTTCTGTACTTAATTCGTTTTTTCAGCACTGGAACTACAAATCATGTAACCTCATCTTCTATGTATTTAATGATGCAGCTGGTGTGTTACTGTGTTAACAACTTTGGTGCATCTTCTTGCAAACTGGAGAATACTTCATTTGATTTTGTTATTATTCGTGAAGCTGCTGTCACTTCAAATTGCATCCTGGATGGCTCTACTAAAGGTAACCATGCGCTCAAAATACATATAAAGCACTTTCTGGAGCATAGTCATAGAGGCATGCAGTCACAAAATTAAGTTCAAGATCTGGTAGTAATATATTTCACCGAGCACTTTCTCTTGCATGATTTGCATCCTTAAATTCAGTTTTGAAATGAGAATTGAACTTTGAAACTGAATGAACCCCTATATAAAAGCATTGACTGTAATGTAGTTTAGCCCCACTTGTGATGGTTATTGCTTTTTTGGGTTTCAAGATGTATCCTTGCAGGAGGCCATCTTTAGCTTCCTTCAATCATCCAGAGTGTTGAAGCTGAGAGGAAGGAGTTAGGAAGAACCTTCTCTGAATGCTAGGCAGAACTTCTATGGAGATGTCATCATGCCCATGCTCCCTGTCAAGCACAGCATGCATGAGCTTATATTGAATTGGTCATCCAAGGCAATTTACAGGGGTAAGGTGCTGGAATATTTCAGTATGATGAATTACAGTGTAAGAATAAGATTTATTGTTAAATAAACAATAGTAATTTTCTTGATTATCACAGATCAAAGGCCATGCAAGTTTTGCTACACACATACTTTCTTCTCTTGAGAATGTGAAGACAATGACACGATGTCTTCTACAGCCGCAATCCTCCTTTGATTCATCTAGGTCTGGGACTAGTTTCTGAAAACTTCTGAATATTATGGGTTGCCTTTTTCATGACTGAATAAAAATGAAATAGAATCCCACCATTTAACTTGTATCATCCTTTGGAGGCTACTTTCTGTACAAGAAAGTGAACTGTGTAAACAATTTTTGTTTTATAAAGTCAAAGTGAAACTGTTTTATTTAAATATAGGTAAGAATTTTTAGTTTGTAAATGTAATGCTCAATTGACATTCTACTCCAAACATACTCAAATGTCAAAAGGGATACCAAAAGGATATTATTTTAAGTTGACTGGCTTGCTTATGGTTTAGGGAGGCTGGCCACTCAAGTTCTAAGAAATTTTGCTTTCATTACAAATTAGCTTACAATCTTATGTGGTATTAAATGAAATATGACATAGCATTGTAAATTTGCTTTCTTTAGGAAATTTTGCTTTCATTGTCAATTTGTAAAAGTTGATGTTTGTTTGCTCTAGGTTAGATGTATCATGGAAGAAAAGAAGGATGAAGAAGATAGGACACTGAATGAAGGTGAAGGCGTGAAGCAGAGATTGCTATTTCACATGCAAATAGACTTACTTACTAAGGGCGGAGTCCAAGCTTCTAATATTGGAATTATTACCGCATGTGTTATGCTGGTACTATGGAGTATGCCTGGTTAATAGAGTGAGACATAGATA